AGTTGTTGTACCTATTCCTTAGGGGTACTTAGAAATAATTTTTAATCTTTGGCTACTGTAAACCCTAAGAAGTAGCTAAAATTATAATTTTTGCTAGGGGTCCAAGTTCAGTATAGATTCAAGCTTATACATTCGGGTGTGCGATTCTCCGGCCGGAAGCCTTCGACCCTACCCTTGGCCAAAGAGCCCTACCTTAAAAGAACAGGGACAGGGTACCGACGTGCAGGCTTTCTTACCGATTCAGAAAAAGACATCAGAATATGGGATCCCTAAACCAGAAAACCTGAATCCTATAATCTTAGGGTTCAGGGTTTAGGTTTGAGGGTTCAGGGTTTAGGGTCTATTATTCTCGGGTTACAAGCCCTGAGCCCTAACCCCTAAATCCCTCACAGCATGGCGTTGTTAGTCATGGATCTACGCCAAGTGTTTTTGGGACTTAGGCAGTCAAGTGTCCAATAGTATAAGCCTGATATTTAGAATGCAATCCCACTCCCTAAATCCCAAATCCAACACCTGCTTGGCTTTCCGGCAGTACCCTTGCCAACACCCTTTAGTGAGAGGGCCTCCTTAGCAACCGAATACGAGCGAATTGCCAAGCCTTTGGCAGTAGTGGGATGCTGGAGGAAAAGGTCCCTAAACCTTGCGTCTTCACAATCGAGCAAGTCGCATGAGGGGTCGAGGTATTGAGTAAGAGGATCCGCTTCAATGTCCAAGAACAAACACCATATCGCCACAACCTACTCTGGCTCTGGCATTCACCGAGAAACGGACGCTTATTCAGTCCTGAGAGTTTCGGGTTTAGGGTTAAGGCTAAGGGTTTCGGGGTTTAAGGTCGGAACCTTTATAGGGTTCTTTCAGGGTTCATTTTAGACACGATACGGCTTTGGGAAGCTGTGCGATAAAGTTACCTTATCTCGTAGCCTTAGCCCTAAACCCTAAGGAGCCCTGAAAAGGAACCCTCAGAGCCTCCGACATTATTAAACACCCAAAAATCCTAAATCCTAAACCCCTATGCTGATTCTTAATGTAGAACAACCTTTTTGATAATCTACATAGAAGTCCCTGCAGTTCGTTGGCGGCAGTGGGAAAATGTAGCTTTTCAGCCGATACCCTTAGCCCTACACCGCAATTAATCACGTGCTAAAAACGCAATTCTCGTTGTCGGAACATTCGGCAGGACTTCTGCTGCTACAACGTCGAGCTAGGCGATTACACCGTGCACGTCATGGCGCCTGGGACGAAAAGTACGACTTTACGCAGAGGATCCGTAGGTTTATACGGCTTTAGGATTTCCTGGTAAGGAAGCACTGGACCCTGCCCCTTCTTTAAGGGCCTTCTCGTTTAAACTACGGTCGCATTTCTGATTAATTCAGGGAGGGTGTGTTTATGAACCGGGGCCTACCGTTAGACGTCGGGGATTGGGGTTCGTTTTCTTTGCTGTTTGTATCTTTTGTGGCGGTTTTTCCCTTTAAGCCCACGGGGTCCATATGTATTGCTATGTATGGACTTGGGTCCCAAAAGACCATCCTTATTGAAGTACTGTATAGTTTTGGGGACATATCTCCACAATAGTATAACATGGTATATCTGGACCTAAACCCTAGACCCTTTAGGAAACATATTTCACTTCACCCCCACCGTTCTAGTTCGAAAGTGTCGGGAACAGTCTGGTTGGAGTATGGATTGCCGGACACTGAGGTTTAGGGTTTGGGTTTACCGTTTCTTGACGTTTTAATGGCAAGTCATGGAGGGTTCTCAAAAAGGCTCTATAAGGGCCCACGGGTTCTGTAGGCGTTGTGGAAAACCCTAAACCCTAAACCCTAAACCCTAAACCCTAAACCCTAAACCCTAAGTTTCGAGTTTCGGTTGAGGTCAGGGGTAAACCGTACAGCGTGGTCTAGGTTCCGGGTTTCAGCAGTTGGCGGTTTCCTTGGCGCCCCATAGCCTGGGGAGTGTTTAGGTAATTAGTTAAGGGTTTAGGGTTTAGGGTTTAGGGTTTAGGGTTTAGGGTTTAGGGTTTAGGGTTTAGGGTTTAAGGTTTGAGCTTAAAGTTTAGGGGTTGAATCGGAGACATTGATCCTGGGTTTACAATCGTAGAACTTCCCTGATCCTTCATGAGTAACGTGGGGGGGCCTAAACTTCATTACCATCAATAGCGGTTCCCTAGGGTTCCTGAATATAAGTTTACAGTAATGTACCCCAGAACCCTCTTCTGATTGCAAATGCCGCTATAGTTCACGCCCCCCCATACTACCCCCTATAGTAATCCTTGTCCTCCCTTTTAACAGGAACCGTTACGGAGCCTTGTTCTGACTGTGAAGGCCTCCGGATCATAGAACAGCTGTTCTAGAACTCCTATAGAACCCAGTAGCCCTAAACCCCAAACCCTAAACCCAAAAAGCCTTAAACTCTAAATCCTATACCCTATAAGCCCTAAACCCTAAACCCTGTAAAGAACAATCAAAGATACCATAAGCCCTAAATCCTATACCTTAAGAACCCCAAACCTACTTTTTTGTAGGGTCCCTATAAATCCCATATTAAGGCTTATGATAAGAACCTACAAAAAAGTGGGTTTTGGGCTCCTAAGGCAAGCCCCAAACGCTAAACCCTTTACAGAATCCTCAGCACTATGAAGTCGGAACTCCGTACCCCGAGCTCCCTCCGACATCCTAAAGCTCTTCGAGGATAGCCCAAGAACCCGAGCCTGGCAAAGCCCGGGTTTCGGTTGTTTTTAGGGTTTTGGAGTTGAGGCTTAGGGTTAAGGGTTTAGGGTTTAGGGTTTAGGGGTTTTAGTAATTTAGGGTTTAGGGTTTAGGATTTTTTGGACAGTTTTGGCCTCCCAAGTTCACAAATGTAGCTCTAGAGTTTCAGCTGCCTGGACCCTGTAGAATAGAATCTACCCATTTTGGTGCCCCATGACAAGCTTTGCTTATAGAAGTTCTTAAAAGGGGTAGGTTTATTGGGGTTGCGGTAGGGGTCCCCCTAGAAAGGGTAGGTCTCTTGGGGTTTTTGTAGCGGTTCTTGCCTTTGACAGGTTTCTCTGGAGCACGACAGCGTGCTGGAACAGTTGGTAGGCCGCTGGACCGCAGGAGCTGAGAACCTCCGTTTTTTGGGGTTCCTTCTCATGATTTCCTTTAAAAAAAAATCCTTAAAAAGGTTAGTTCTTCGGGGTCTAGGTATACCCTAAACCCCTAAACCCCTAAACCCCTGAACCCCTAAACCCCTAAACCCCCAAACCTTAAGCCCTAAACCCTTAACCTTGGCGGTTCTCAGAACCCTAAACCCTGAACCCACTTGTGCAGAATTTCGCAGAACCAGGGTTGACGGGTGTGGAGTTCAGGGTGTAACATTAGCGCCTTAATACGTTTAGTTGGGTTCCTCCTACGGGTTCCCTTTCAAGGAGTACCCTAAACCCTAAACTCGTCAGTCAAGAAGGATTACTATAACAAGGGCTTCAGGATTTCGAGGTCTAGAACCCGCAAGATAACTCAAAGAAACCCCCTGAACCCTAGACCTTCACCCGTCAGGGTTCCCCTTAAGGGTTCCTTTCTGGATTCGTTGAAGGGTTCCTGCAACGGTTCCTTTGAGTGCTGTGAGGGCTCCTTTAAAGGAGCACTCTAGAAGAACCCTTATATAAGAAGTAGGATGAACCCGAAATTATAGCTACCCTCAGCCCTAAATCCGAAACCGTTGCGGAGGCTGGTACTTTCAAACAGCTTTTCCGAAGGCTGCCAGGGAGTTGGTCATTCTCTCAACTTCCCGCCGCAAGTAATACAGGGGCCTAAATCATATCCTATACTATAAGATACCCCCCCAAACCCTATTCCCATTATTAAGGCCCGTACATTAGAGTTGAGTTTCTGTTTAAGATTTGTCCATGCTATTAGTTGGATGGGGTCGACTGAGAAACCCTGAGCACGGGTTATGCTCTGCGACCCTCAACAGGGTTACCCTAAACCCTAAATCCAAAGGTTCGATAGGGCAGAGGTTTGGGATGGAGAGTGCAAGGAGAAGGACAAAGCCTCTATCACCCCTCCTCCAGCCCTTAAGCCTAAATCCCTGAACCCAGCGTTTAGGGTTTAGGGTTTAGAGCCCTAAACCCTCAACTCCAAGCCCCTTAGCCCCCAAACCCTAACCCGCAACCCTCAAAATCCCAACTCTCCCCTTCTCGCCCAACGTCGGATCTCAGGAACACTGTCCATCTCAGCCACGAGCTCCGTGTCGCCACTGACAGAGAGCGGCTGGGCCTTCCGTTCATAGGGTCCCTAGGATACTGGGTTTATCTGGGCTTTTAAGGGTTCTATCATAAGGTTCATGTAAAGGTTTACAAGGGTTTTACGTTGTTAAGGCTCTGTAGATTGCTCGTGTTGGGCTTTCCGATCTTGAGCATTAGCCTGTCAGATGGTAGTTGAGGGTGTTGTGCTAGGGGATGAGCCAACCCACCCAGGGCTCCTAGTTTTTTTCGCCCTCCCCCATGTCTTAGGGGTACTTAGAAATAATTGTTAATCTTTGGCTACTGTAAACCCTAAGAAGTAGCTAAAATTATAATTTTTGCTAGGGGTCCAAGTTCAGTATAGATGTTTAAATCAACCCCTATTTCACCAATCTTAGGAAGTCGTGTGCTTTTCTTCCCTCCCGCCCCTGGCCGTTTGCTTTCAGCCCCCCGGGTGTTGTTTGGCCGGGCACGGTGGTTTTTTGGACCCCGGAACATTGCTTTTCCATCCCTATGCACAGAAAAGAAAAGCAGAACATGTTTTCCTTGCCCCCCCCCCCCTCCCCGCGCCTGATTCACCCGTGCTCCCTCAGCAACCCCAGGAAATCGTGCGTTTTCCTTCCATCCCGCCCCTGGCGATTTGCTTTCAGCCTCCCCTCCCTGGCACGGTAGTTTTTGACCTCGGAACATTGCTTCTCCATCCCTATGAACCCCGAAAATTAGAGAACATGTTCTCCTTGGCCCCCCCCCCTTCCCTCAGCAATGGTCCAGCTTGATGTGGCAGGATTGGAATATCTCTTCCAAGACCACTGTGCCGTCATGCGGGGGCACTTGCCGAACTCGTCATGGCCACGTCACCGACGACGGGGTGGTGAAACCGTGCCCTCATTGGTTTGTTCCTGCTGCACTTTCATGATGCACGGCGAGTGCGAACATGTGCTGTTTGTGCGAGCGCTGCTGGGGGATCCCGTGGTCAACTTGAAGGCAGTGCCCGTCCTGCGAAAGCGGGGCCGCAAGAGAAAGCAGGGATCCCTGGACAGCCTCGCGCAAACTGCGGCCAAGGCCACGAAGGTGCAGAAGGTGCTGAAAGCACCCAGGAAGAAGTAGAGAGCGATTTGACTAGGGCACCCAGCGCAGCTACAAGAGCCCAAAAATCTTGCAGAGCACATGCCGACCATGTCTTCCATCCTGCTGTGTCAAAGTCTGAAGTCGCAGCTCATGTACGCCGGGCAAGCTTGCTGTCAAGAACATCATGCCCTCAAGAACCTGCGCTTTGCAAATGATAACTCTGATGAATCTTATCATAATCAATCGTTTACAAGTGGTTTCTGCCCCTTGCAGTCCCCTTCTAGGCCTCTGACCCTGAAGAACCCGTCATACAGGCATGGTGTTTGCAAACGCAGCGTGCTGCCCCAACCCCCCTGCCTTGTGCTTGAGCGGGTTCGAATAGCACCCAGCCAGAAAAGCGCAATTGTGGAGGTAGGGGGACTTTCTACTTCAGCCGCGCAGGCTTGCCTTCCAGAACACCACCGCAGCTCTTATGGAACTTCGTTCAATCACCATCATATAGAGGCAGTCTGTTTGCGAATGAGGTGGAGCAGCGGCTATCCCAACCGCGCTTTGCGTAAGCCGTGCAAATTGTCTTCGAGTCTGATGCTGCCCGCAAAAACCGAATCCATATGAACTCTGTCAAAAGCCGTGATACAAGTTTTGTGTTTGCATTTAATGCGGAGAAGGGGGGCTGCGCCCTTCACTTCAAGTACGATGCTGCCCGCAAAAACCGAACCCATATGGACCCTGTCAGAAGCCGCGATACAAGTGCAACAGAGCCGTGGTACAAATTCTGTGTTTGCAAGTGGGGGGGGCTGCGCCCCCCCCAACCCCCCCGGCTTTCTTTCTAAGCCGCGCAGGCTTGCTTTCGCAAGAATCGCAGGAACATCCAGATTATGCGCATGAAAGCCGAGAAAACATGGCAGGCACCGCAAGTCAGCAGAGGAGCAGTCTCTGGAATTGGGCTGCGGCATGCCCCAACCCCCTCCGCTTTCTGTCTATAAGGCGTGCAAATTCGCTTCAAGCATGATGCTGCCCGCAAAAACCGAACCCGTATGGACCCCGTCGTATGGACCCTGTCAAAAGCCGTGCCCCCCGTTTTTATACTAAACTCTCCGCTCACGAAGGCCGCGAAGAGATGCACGAAAGCGTGTTCGCCAACACACAAGAAGGGGAAAGCCAGACAACAACGCTTAAGAGGATTTAACGCGAAGAAAACACAATCAATCGCGAAGGATGAAAAAGTTTGCACCGGGCCGCCAAACCTTTAAAAAGAAGCCTCCACCCAAATTAAGGCAATGCCGTCTGTGAGGTTTTGGGCATGGGTTTTCTGTTCTCAAACTCTTTCAACCATGAACGTCGTTTTGCTCTGGGCATGGAGGCATATGGGAGCTCTGAGAGAAAAGGGGCAAATGAAACAGGTTGATCGAGGCGAGAGTATCCAGAGGGGGCGGAAGAAGAGGGGACGGGGCCAGAAAACATGACAGGGGGCTAGTTGGAACATGTGGGGGGCTGAAAAAAACAGGGGGGGTGGACCAGCACATGGTTGAGGGTCGAAAAAAACACATCCCCACCCAAAA